CATTTAGCACAGGCTTTGGCTCTTAGCCTTCTTGAAAATATTAACCTTTCATGAGTACTATATCCTGTAAGCTCAGATAAACCTAAGGACTAGGTTTAAACCTAAACCTAGCATTTTGTCCGTTTTTATCAGACATTTAACAGATGCCTTTGTCCAGAGCAATTTAAGATTGAACTCTGATTAGTTCACCTGCTGTCTGTTCAAAATTAATTTGGTCTGGACTGACCTTTTTAATTTTCTTGCTGATTCAATATTCCAATCCACCCACACTCTAATGTGTCATGTGTGGCTACACACTCAGGTCATGTCTAATGCATGAGGAAAGACATAATATATATAAATTATTATTATTTTGAAATTTGTATATGATTCTAGAAAACACCAGAATAAGTTTTTCCCACTTTCTCCTTATTTGTTACTCCCACCATCTGTTCTCTTACACAAGAGGCAATTCATAATGTGTAAAGAATCTTAGAATGAAGAGCTGTGACTTGACTCATGTAGCTAAATTCATGGACTCAACAGACTTCAGCTAAAATAAAACAAAAATATTTCATAGAGAAGAATATAACCTAACATAAGCATCATTCTTTACATGAACATAAACATCATGTTTGAATGGTCCCTTTTGACCCACTTTGTGGGTGTGAATGTTCACAGATAGCCTAGTGCTATGTGAGATACAGCTTTTAGAGCTTTTTGCCTTAAAAGGACATAAACCATTCTTGAAATATTTCAAAATGGCAACTGACCCATGCCATCTGTTTATGACATAATGCAAAGTCACTTACATATGCATGCTGGCTAAAAATGTGACTGACATTATAAGCCAAGAACCTCAGATGCTGGAGAAAAAAATATAAATTATGAAATTAGTTATTCTGTAATTATGGGGGGATGGGTTGGGAACCAACGCATGTTGATTGTTGGCAGTGTATTTAATGACATCTTCACGATGATTCTCTGACATCAGAGGAGTGAATTAAAGTCATCCACTGCATCAGAAGAAAAAATATCATATAGGTAATCTATTTTGGCTTGCTTGATGAGTGTAGAAATTAATCAAGGATGGCTCTTAAAGGTATTTGATAAGATTAAACATGTGCGTCACCAAATCCTATTTCCTCCACTTTGTGAATAACCTGGACGAAAAATTGTTAACACAATTACTTTTGGTCACCAAATTCAGGATGTACAGTTCTGTTTCCATAATTCTCGGTCACTGTATGATTTAAGGTCAGATTAGGACACTAGTTCCAAAATGTTTTAAACCCTTTTAGTGTTAAGGTGGATGTATTTTGTTTCTGTAAACAAATTAAAAAAGATGTATGTACAGAGATCCAACAGGGTCCTTTGAGGTGAAATATGTCAGTCATTCTGGTCCTGTGGGTGATATGCAGATACTTTCTTCTGAGGGCATCTGCTCCCCCATTGTTTCTATATCCCATGGTATGTGTGTGGTTTGTCCTGTGAGGACCCCTGGGAAATGTCAGGCAATAGAAACCACAAACATTAGCAGACAGAATCTCCTCAGGAACTTCAGTCCACAAAGGCAACGAGAGGCCATTCGAGGTGAACTAGTGTATACTCATGAAACATGCCACATTAGATAAGTGATTCAAAAGAAAAACATTGGATAAGATTTTAATCTTTGAAAAGAATGGACAGAATGATGCTGCAGGTGTAATCACTCTACCATTCACAGTGACGTTGATTGACAAGACTGATGCCACAGGAGATTTCATAAGCATTGTCACCCCATCCAAAGGCTTACATGCCTTACAGGAGTATGTAAATTAAAATGGAAACTCTCCCAGAAGAATTACACTTCCATTTAAAAGTTTGAGTTTAGCAATATTTAGTAATGTTTTTGAAAGAAGTGTTTTATGTTCACCAAAGCTGCATTTATTTGGTCAAAAATACAGAAAAACCGAAATATTATTACAGTTTAAAATAATAATTTTCTGTTTAATATATTTTAAAATGTATTATATTCCTGTGATAGCAAAGCTGAATTTTCAGCAGCTATTACTCCACTCTTTAGTGTCACATTATTCTTCAGAAAGTTTACAATAAGAGCATTTATTTGAAATAGAAATCTTCAGTAACATTATAAATGTCACCTTTGATCAATCAGTTTCCTTGCTGAATAAAAGTAATAATTTCAAAAACATTTAACTGATTTTGGAATGGTGGCGCGTGAACTTTGTCAGATCTGTACATTATATCTGAATGGCTTGTATGTCTGTGTACTTGCAAAAACAATTTTACAACCTATTCTTAAAGGCATAGTCCACCCAAAAATGAAAATCCTCTCCTCATTTACTCACTGACATGTCCTTCCAAACCCATCTGACTTACTTTTATCTGTGTAACACAAAAGAAGACATTTTGAAGAATGTTGGTAACCGAACAATTTCAGTTCCTATTGACTCCATGGAAACCGTTTGCTGACCGAAAATATCCTCCAATTCATGTTTTCTCCACTTTTCCATTCCACATTTCCTTCACTACAACCACCAGAAAGCATTTTCCTGTAACTTAAGTGTTCCATTAATGGGTTCAGTCTAAATAGCATTATGTTTCCATTTATTAAGAGTGTCACCCACAGCACCATTATAAAATATGCAGGGAATGTCCAGCTTCTTATATTTTAAATTGGGCTAAGAGGTAGAAAAAATAAGGTCGCATTTTATGTTACTATTGCTATGGCGTAAACAGTCTTTGCTCATCTGAAGCTAATGGGAATCTGCTGAGGGACAGTGCTATTTTTTTGGTTGAATGGAATGCTGAGGCTTAATGTGATGAAGAAGACCCAATGGACAACTGATGGCTGGAGCACACATTGTGAGAGACAAACTTAGGCTGAGGGATACTTCAGGTCACTTTAAAACCATCGAGTCATACAATTTCCAGTATCACTATGGATTGTCCAGCAGGAATTCAACTATTTTTATTGTTGCTAGATATTTGTTTTACTGGACAAGTTTGGTTTATGAGGCCAATTATATAGTTGAAAGGGATGTAAAAGTCTGTGTTAATTAAGCAAATGATTCCCTTTAGACAGCACTCTACTGATTAAACGTGTCATCTCCCTAATGCAGTGTCCCATAAAACATGAATTTACCATTTACAGTGTGACATCTTACTATACACTAATAGGTATTTTTTGACGTATATAAGCATATAAAATGAACTGAGACTCATCTGTAGGGTTTGGCTTGCATTTTATGCATTCTAACAGAGATTGATGATTCCGAGATGGGAATAAGCGTCTAGCCTACTTGTGCAGACATCTGGTTACTGTCACTGTCCTTCTGCTGTCTTAAAGTGCTTTGAAAAGTATGGTTCAAGATATAATTTATGTATCTGACATTTCTCAGAGAATCTGGCCAACATGACATATTATATAATTAGAAGCTAATAATCTAATTAAGAAAAAATAAATAAAATGGCTAAACTGCTTTGGCAAGACATTGTTCATAAACAAATTACTTTGCAGCACAAAAGAATGATAATGCTTGTTGTCCATATAAAAATATGGATATAAACATGAACCAAAAATCTATATAATAATAATACATTATTTAATTCTTCAAACTTTTATTCATTTGATGCCTCTTTTATTCAGAATCATTAAAAATCAATATTCATGGAATTTTCAAAGTGAAAGGATGGCTTTGTATAATAATCATAATAATAATACAGGACGAGTTTAATTCCCAAATATGTGCCCATTTTAAACAGTCATAACCACATAACCAGTATAAGCAATCACTATAAAGGTGGACACATTTCTGGTTTAATAATCATTGCACTGAATGAAAAATATTTGTTTATTCATACATCATATTTCAGTTATTATATATATTGCTCAACCCACACTGATTTATAAAAGACACTTAGTTAAAATGTCAACATGGGTGAGTTTGCACAGTGAATTTTTCCTACTTGCCATGTTATTCTGCATTCAGACAGATATTCCATTCCTGAGCATTCCTAAACTCTGTAGGCAAAGTGTGTTAAGTTGCTTTAAACAGTGTTTAACTTGCTCACAATTACTACACAATGAAATACATGCTACTGAAGGATGTTTGTCCATCATTGGCGACGTGAATGGCTCATTTTCCTGTTGTTCAAAAAGACATCTCAAGAACCATGATCCTATCACTTAACCACAATCCTTATCAATCCATTATACAACAGTTAGTTTTTGTCCTGGAGTTGATTTGAAGAAGTGTTCCAGGACTTTATATTTAGTATAACGGCACTGTGTTTTAATTTTTTGTAACTTTTTGTATCACCCTGACCACTTGTCTATGTTTAGAAAAGCAGAAGTGAATGTGGAGCTGTGTCCGTGTACTACTTCATTAAATTTGACTTATTTTGGAACTACTGTCATTGGAAAGAGATATACACACTAACTGGCCAATTTTTGTCTAAAATGTAAGTTGTTGGATATTAATTGCAGGTTTATAGAACTGTTGTATAAAAGCTATATCACATAATTGTCCTGTTATTCTGAATTTGAGCATGGCTGTGATTAACTGCAAATGAATTATGCCACAGTGCCTGTCCATTTTTTCAGCAGCCTTGGTTCTGGAAGTATTTTTCCCATTCATTTTACCCATAGAAAATTTTAATAAGTCTCCATCAAAGAGTTATAAGCCATGAAACAAATCAACCAGCCACGAGGTGAATAACATCATTACAAACTTGATTTGAAGCAAAAAATTATTTGAAAATCTGTCAAAACGGTACAAGACTGTATACTTAACAGTTTTAATATGGAAAAGAAGCATCACAAATGACATCATTTAAAAATTATGGGAAAATATGTGCTTCATGGGAGTGATTGGATGCTAAACAGCTTTTTTGGGGGCAATTTGCTTGATGCGATTCTCTGATTGGTGGAGATTTCTCTTTAGAATCGTGGGTAATGTAGTTTTATACCAGGAATAAACACAATTATTTAAAAAATACGTTGAAATGGTGCAGTCTGATGGTTTTTAAAAAAAGTATGTAACATCTATTAACAACATTGTAGCTCACAGTAGATCTGTCTTAAAAGGCTTGTAAGTTATCGTTTAAAATAAATTCCTCAATCGAGAAAATGAATGGGATTTTTACCTTCGGAACCCATCTATTGCACTCTTTAATGTAACAACTTTTAAATAAGCTTTTTTAAAGCAGGTAGGCCAACACAGTTTCTGTCCTTTAAGTAGAAATAAAGTCAGTCTAAACTGTACGACGTCTTCTCTCACGTTCGCAGTTGTTATTTCTCTCGCTGCACAGTCATCACAGTTAATGTCATATAATTATGTGCCACACAAATAATCTGGTGTCACACTGCACTTGCTGCATTCTCGGTGTCCTTGGTAACCAACTCCTCTTGCAATGGAGACGAGCCCTCCATTAATTCCAGACCCTGTTCTGTCAAAGAGGAGACGTCAGGTCTCGCACTGTAGCTTGTCCAAGATTCTTGGTCAGTTGTGGGAGAGGCTGAATCCCACATGTTTGGCTGATCCTCAGTGGCACTGACCCCAGAACTGCCGTTTTGTTTAGTAGAAGATGTGGCTCCATGGACTAAAGGAGGTTCACTTGATGCACCTGCTACAAGAACACTAGTTTCCGACACATGGCTAACTTCTGCTGTACTAAAACGTCCTGGTTTTTCATGAATGTGCGCTGAGTCAAATGTTCCTGTTTGGTCAGTATTCTTTGTATTTGTTGTTGAGATATTGAGAAGGCCTTCATGATCTTTATTATCACCCCAGTGTTGTTGTCTATGTGAAGAAGTGGAGTGGGCATACGTGGGGGTCTCTGTCGATGTCAGGCTGACCGGTGGTGTATTATTCATCTTGTTCGTGGATGGTACATCACTTGTTGTGATGTTATTTGTGTTTATGGGCATAATTGCAGCCGTCACCAAAACACCTGACTGTCCAGACACAGATGCAGATGTTGGTTTCCATATTAAACTGTAATAAATTGCCAGTATTATAGCAGCCAAAGACACCGACAAGACATATGCGAATACAGTAGCCAGTCTCACCCACTTTTTATTGGTTTTAGCAGCCATTTTAGCTTTTTTGTCTCCCGTGTATGTGGCCGGTTTGCCCCGTTCCATGTTTGGCATAAAGTCCCGTTCTCTCATGTTCGCGCGGATTCTCCCTCTGTGCTCTTGGACGCCGTCCGTCTTGAACGCTTGTTATTGACAGATTATTCAAGAGAACTGCTCACGGTTTGATACACAGCGTCTGTCGATTATCCACGTCGCTGTGGTTTTATTCATTCATCATTCCTCCAATCTCGCAAATCCACAATAGCGATCTGTTTCCAGCATGACAGTAGCGTGTGGACGTTATTCCATGCAGAGACGTTTCCAGAGCTCTATAGATGACCGGTAACGTTATATACAGCGATCTCACACCGTATGAAGCAGAACCAGTGCTGAGATGATGTGATTCATCTGCTGAATGACATGAGAACGGACATACAGACAGCCTCAGTGTTATGTAGTGAGGGAACCGTGTGCTATAGAGCGAAAATGAAGGGAGGAGGGTCTCACTAGTGCACACTAACTAGTCGCTGCCCACAGCTAAACGTCATGCTGTCAGAATCCCCCTGACGGTGTTTGGGTAGTGGACAAATAACATGGACATGAACATGCTTCAATTTAAAGGGAACCTGTATCACATTCTGTTCTAATTCTGTTTAAACGTTTTAGATGCACCGCACTATTGTCACAAATGTTAACCACCCTTGTTATTTCACTAACTTTATAAATCATTGGACAATAGACAAACATTTTGACAAATTTTCGTTTAATAGTTTTCAGTAGCCTATTCTGCAGTTTAGTTTTATAAACCCTGGCAAAGGACAAGTGTTTTCATATATTATAGCCTACACTAGTGTTTTTTTCCCCCGGCAATTTAAGTGTGATTTGTCGAAATCTCAGAAGTTACCATCTTTATTTCATATATCAACCTAAACAATGTCAGATATTTGTCAGATTTTTTTTTTTTGCCTGGTTTAAAAATAATGCTTTTGCTCCTTTGCGTTTTGTTTTGACACATTAGTCACCAAGTGCATGGATGCCACCAGCTGGACAAACAGCTGCACTGCACTATGACTGAAATAATAACCAACCTCAGATTATAATGCATTCACCTAAAGAATAGTTAAATTAATATCAGTAGGCCTGTCACGATAACAGCTTTTTGTTGTGCGATATATTGCCCCAGAAATAATTGCGATAAGCGATATTATTGTCATTTTAAGACCATTTTATGCCACTGAATATATAATCGTAATGTAACAGCATAATAATGCAAGAAGGCCTACACACTTCCAAATGACAACAAACTTTAATTTTTTAAGAATATTTAGATCATGGAAATTAAGTATAAAAATATTAGATACCTTAAAAAACTTAAATAATAAATATTTAATTAAATAAATTGTAAATAAACATTTTCTAACAAAAAGTGCAAAGTAACAAGTAGAAAAAAAGAAAAATGCACAAAGAACTTGTATGGAGATTTTTCCATCTACAGATTTTTCCCTGACCTTCTTTTCTCTGTAAATTAAGGGTGCACACTATTGCTGAAAAACACAATCACTACCTGGCAGTCAGTATGCACAAAGGCACAGATCCCTAAACAAGACCATATCTGCAGATGAAACTTTTTTTTGTAGAAGCATTTTTAAATTTGAACTAGCACCTCATGACTACACCACATTATGTACGAGAAGCTGCAAAAGACACAGGCACAAGTGGAATGTACAAAACATGGTGACATTAATTTTTACGGAAATATAATGGGCGATATATTGCATCACCAAAAATTATTGAGGTCATGAAATATATTGTGCGATAAGTCGATATATTGATTATTGTGACAGGCCTAAATATCAGTATGTTTATAATTAAATACCATACTATTTTACAACTGTAAGCATTTGTCATATTAAAAGTCATTAGATGGTTAAGTGATTGGTCAAACTATGTACAATATTGCCATTGGTTATTGTGATAAAAGCTGTCTGAAGATCTGAAAGGCTAAATTTGAAGATTTTTGAAGATGAGAGAGTTGATGTGTCTTATTGTGTGTACTTCTCATTTTTACTCACTGTCTGTTTAACACCTCTCAACATGTTTTTCCACACTGATTATTTTTTTTAGTAGAAACAAACCCTGAGGAAGTGTTGCTACTATTGTCTGACTTCTGGCAATGTAGGACAGGAACAGACTATGTTTTTGGTTTAGTAGTGTAAGTATTCAGGACTTCAACCTCTGAAACATGGACTTGGTTGAGGGTGCTGAACATGTGACCTAATGGGGTATAAAAATGAATTTGGGTTTTCATGTAAGCAAATGGCACACATGATCAATGATCAAATGAAAGCTTCTTGCATAGTATTGAGTTGGCATGTAAGTGTGGTTCTCTATTCCTTTATATTTTATACATCAGTTAGTTGTATCAAAATGAAAATGCTAGAAGTATTAAATTTATACAAACATAGCTTTGTGTATATGACAATTAGACAGAAAGTGAATATCAATAAATATAAAAAATAATAAAATAATAGACCTACAGAAATCAACTATGATTATGTTAATCATTATTTTAAACAATATTTAGGACTTTTTTGTAATAATTTAGGAAATAAATAAATAAATGAATAAATAAATACATTATTAATTAATAAATAAATAAATTTGCTATTGAACATCAGTGTCCAAAGTAAATGAATCTGACCTAAGGGTTCAGTCTTATTTTTGATCTGTGGCAAACAGATTGCACAGTCTGAGGAAGTGGTGTCAAAAGACAATGTGTGTATATATAAGACTGTGGGAACTGAGAGCAAAACCTGTTACTAAAAGAGAAAAAATGACTTTGCTCTTGTGCACATGTCTTGGATTACTGTTCAACTTTGATTTTAATGCTGGTAATACAGAAAAATGGCAGTCATGACTGGATTGTTATTGTTAACTAATATACTATATCTCATAATTTATTAATTTAATTAAGTTAGCAGGTAAGTAACTTCAAGGATATCTGTGCTCAGGAGGCTTATGAATTTACTTATGAATAATGAATGCTAACTATAATGAGAAAATATATTTGCTGTTTGTTGCTACTGTACTAGATAGATAGTATTTTCTGTTTATGTAGTGATTTTTACACGTGTCGTGTATTTTTAAAATAGGTTTTTATGGTTGCCCCCTTTTTGATCATAATAATACTTATTTTTAATGTAAAGTTTATGTTTACATTAAGGTGCTGATATGGTTGCAGAAGATAAGGAAGTCTTCCTTGGAGGGCATGTGAGTTTGCCGTGTCTTAATCTGGTGACAGACAGACTGCAGTAAAGTTACATGGCTGTCTAATGATAATCCTGCCATGGAGTTGGTCACCCTTGGTAAACTCAATCCAGACAAGTCAGAGAGAGAAGGCAGAGTGAGTCTGATGATGTCTGACTGCTCTCTGAACATCAGTGGAATCAGAGCTGGAGATAATGGATGCTACACCTGCCGTCAATATTCAGGTGGAAGAAAAATTTAAAAAAGGATGCCAGAATTTGCTTGATTGTTAATAAAAGTAAGCTAATGCTCGAATTCATCAAACTTTATCTTACCTACTGCAATGGCATGATTTATCAGGTTTTTTTTTGTTTTTTTTTGCATTTTTACTATGCGGTATATTTACATTTTCTATTAATAGAATTTAACATTAATAATAGATTTCTACAAGTTTTGATTTTTCTTGTTGTAAATATCTTTTCCTGCTGTATAGGCTATTGCTGTTGAAGCTTAGTCAGGTCAGTAGTTAAATGTTAGTTGCTTAAGTTTTGATTCTAGAAGGATCATATTGTTATTAAAAAAATCATCGTGCCAGCAATATCCTAACCAACATTTTTGCCTTATATCTAAATCTTTTTTTTTTTTTCAGCTGCTACCTCCATGAAAAATAATGGCAGCACTGATGACTGAAAAGGTTACTTATCTTATTCTAATTATTTCCATGAATTTTATTTTCATGATTGAGAATTCTATACAGCACAGTGGTCAACAGCAATCTTATATGTGTATCCCATGTTGGCCGTTCTGTTTAAATCAGTAGGTCGACATGAGTAGATAGGGCTAAAACAGATGGATTAACACATTTAGATTAATGCAGTATGCACTGTAAAAAAAAACACATAAAAAAAAAGGTGCAATGCATGGCAGCACAGGGTGCCAAACGTTTGCCATTAGTGGGAATAACGGTGATACACCAAGAACTGAAGTAACATGTTTACACAGCAACATGATAACGGTGGCAACGAGCACTCAGTATGTTTTCAGAAACAACACATTCCAGCGCCCGATCGCCTCTTTAACAAACGAATTATATGAATGCTCTGCTCTGCTACATAAAATTGTTATTGGGTACATCCGTGCAGCAAAGGTGTTTCTAAAAAGTGGTGGGGACAAAATCGCTCCTTGGCAAAACGTGGTGGGTACGTCTCACCCCGCAAATTACACGTTTTCCAGTAACACATGTTCTAATCAGTTAAATAGGTGACAAAATGTAGGCTACATTTGGTGTTAATGTATGTGTTTTTATGGAAATTCACAGTTCTGATCAAAATGTGATATGACTGTAAAATGCTACTGTTTTTCTCTGTAAAAATAAATTTTTCTCAACTCAAAAACATATATGAACGTTTTTTTAAGGACATGTAAGGTTAAAAATACACAATTGCTTTTAATTAAAGACAAAAGGCCATTTTTTTCAGAAACACATAATCACTTGAAAAACAGATAAAATGTATATTTGGTGTCAATGTATGCATTTTTATGGAATTTCTCAGTTCCTATCAAAATGTGATATTACTGTTAAATTCTACTGTTTTTTCTCTGTAAAAACACATTTATTTTTTACAGTGTACATCCTGGACAAAGTGTGAAAGTTAAGTTGGATGGAGAAAAATTATTATGTTTATGGATTATGTTCTGTTTAGTGACAGGTTTTTTGTAAAGAGATTGATGCTTCTAAGCAGTTGGTATTGTTCTATATCTGTTATCTGGTTAAGCAAGTCATTTGCTTTATCCCATATTGCAAAAA